CAGTTGAGTTCCAATCCAAATCACCCAAGTAGCATAACAATAGGTATATATATATATATATATATATAGTGATATATACGTATATGCTTATGTATATATATATATATATATATTATTTCGTTCTACATGTATTTTGATATCAATATATATATATATATATTCATTTTAAAATACAGTTAGAACGAATTTACACACACATATATTTATTTATTTATATCTATTTTTAATTTTATTTTTAACGTATTTATATATTTATTCATTTTATATTATATATTAATATATATAATAGTTATATATATATTAAATCAATATAATTCTATGTGTATTTTGATATTAATATATATATATATATAAAAGTGATCGGGAGGTCCTTGGGGGGCCAAAACGGACAGAGGGGAACTCCCTGGGCTGCCAGGTGAGTCCCCACACTGCGATTGCAGGCATGGGGTCACCGGCGACCAGGTAAGTAGAAAGGATGGCGGGGACGTGCTTTGCCGCCCTCCAGCGTTTAGAGCCGGATCCCCGAGGACGGCATAGCACGCCCACCGTCCTTAAGGGGTTAACTATAGCTAATTAAGGCAAACGTTGTATGAAACAGAAATGTAGATATAAGATACAACAGAGGTGTAACACAAAATGATATATTTGTTTGTCTAAACTTCCCTGGTGGTCACAATGTATTGTGTGTATGTGTATTTTTTTTTTTTTTTATTTCCCGTCTGGTTCCGAGAGGCGGCGCTCGCAGGGAAAGGTAACCCGGAAGACAGATGCCGGCATCGGGGGGAAGAAAATTCAGGAGGACACCAGGGGTTCGTAGGGAAAGGTAAGTGATACTATAGTGTAATCCCTGGCTCAGGGTTACCGCTTTTGGTACTGAAAATGTATTACCGCCAGGGAGGTTAAAGGGACACTAAAGTCACAAAAACAACTCTAGCTTAATGAAGCGGTTTTGGTGTATAGAACATGCCCCTGCAGCCTCACTGCTCAATTCTCTGCCATTTAGGAGTTAAATCACTTTGTCTATGAACCCTAGTCACACCTCCCTGCATGTGATTTGCACAGCCTTCCTAAACACGTCCTGTAAATAGTCATCTAAAGTTTATCCTTTCTTTATTGCAAGTTCTGTTTAATTTAGCTTTTCTTATCTACTGCTATGATAATAGCTTCCTAGACCCTACAAGAGCCTCCTGTATATGATTAAAGTTCAATTTACAGAGCAAGAAATACAATTGTTTAAGGTAAATTACATCTGATTGAAAGTGAAACCAGATTTTTTCATGAAGCGCCCCAAGCTATAATCACTGAGTACTTAGCATTTCGGGAGGAACTGAACGAACGGATTTACGAAATACCAACGTTCATTACAGATACCAATACACAATAATTTTGCTTAGTTTGGTAGTTTGGAAACATAGAAACATAGAATGTGACGGCAGATAAGAACCATTCGGCCCATCTAGTCTGCCCAATTTTCTAAATACTTTCATTAGTCCCTAGCCTTACCTTATAGTTAGGATAGCCTTATGCCTATCCCATGCATGCTTAAACTCCTTTACTGTGTTAACCTCTACCACTTCAGCTGGAAGGCTATTCCATGCATCCACTACCCTCTCAGTAAAGTAATACTTCCTGATATTATTTTCAAACCTTTGTCCCTCTAATTTAAGACTATGTCCTCTTGTTGTGGTAGTTTTTCTTCTTTTAAATATAGTCTCCTCCTTTACTGTGTTGATTTCCTTTATATATTTAAATGTTTCCATCATATCCCCCCTGTCTCGTCTTTCCTCCAAGCTATACATGTTAAGATCCTTTAACCTTTCCTGGTAAGTTTTATCCCACAATCCATGAACCAGTTTAGTAGCCCTTTTCTGAACCCTCTCTAAGGTATCAATATCCTTCTGAAGATACGTTCTCCAGTACTGTGTACAATACTCCAAGTGAGGTCTCACCAGTGTTCTGTACAATGGCATGTTTCTACTGCTAATACCTCTCCCTATACAACCAAACATTCTGCTAGCATTTCCTGCTGCTCTATTACATTGTCTGCCTACCTTGAAGTCATCAGAAATAATCACCACTAAATCCCTTTCCTCAGATGTTGAGGTTAGAACTCTATCAAATATTCTGTACTCTGCCCTTGGGTTTTTACGTCCAAGATGCATTATCTTGCACTTATCCACATTAAATGTCAGTTGCCACAATTCTGACCATTTTTCTAGTTTACCTAAATCATTTGCCATTTGGCTTATCCCTACTGGAACATCAACCCGGTTACATATCTTAGTATCATCAGCAAAAAGACATACCTTACCATCAAGACCTTAAACTGCTTATTGTGGATAACGTCAGGCAAATGAACATGTATGTGGAGGGAACTTCTCGCAGTCACATTTATAAGTCCAGATTGACTCAAAATACCTATCTGCATGACCCAATGGGGAAATTAAGAGAAATTGGGAAATTAATTCCATCTAAATAGGAACATAATTGCTACATATAATGTTGAAAAAGAATTGTTCCTTTAGTTTAGGGCTGGTGCAAAGAATTTTGGGTACATCTTCACCTGTGTGCCTCTTAACCTCCTTTTTATGTTTTTTATTACCTATTTTAAATGTCTTTCTCCCTTTAGTTTATCTTATCTGCTATTTTTCCCCATTGTGTGTCTTACACCTCCATTGTGTGTCTCTTACAACCCCCCTTGTGTGTGTCTCATCTCCCCTCTTTGTATGACTCTTAAAACCTCCCACATTTTGTGTGTCTTACTCCTCCCAGCTCCCTTGCCTTACCCCCAGCCCCTCTGTGTGTGTCTTTTTCCCTTTCTCAAGCACTGCTGTGTGTTTCTTTCACATCAAGAGGTGGCGAGGGAGCTCTGATCTCCCTGCTCTGCTCCCTCGTGCCTCGCAGGCTGTCTACTGATCCCGGGAGCCGGAATGACGTAATATATTCTGTGGCACCAGCAAATGGCGTGCAAGGGAGCAGAGCAGGGAGATCAGAGCTCCCTCGCCACCTCAGATGCCAGTAGGTGGCCTGGTAGGAGGGAGCGCTTCCTTCCTGCTGGTCACTGGAATCTTGTGACCCAAAGAGCTGACGCGCCGGCCCTGCTTTAGCTCTATATCAAGAAAAGGATGACAGGCACCCGGCAGACACAGCTAAACTGTTTGAATACTTACTTTGGGATGGCACTACAGGACTCCTGGCACCAAAACCACTTCAATGACCTATAGTATCTATGGTGCTTGGCCTGACCCTTTTAATAAAAAGAGTGTTGTCCTATAATACTGCATAAACACACACACCAGAAAGGTATCTAGTAAATATCCAATATTGGGCAATTACCCCTATGAATGATAACATTCCTATTTAAGATAATTCTCATATTTCCTTATTTCAAAGATTTGCTGCAATTTTCTTTGACATCTTTGTGCAATGGTCTCTTTTTTATATTAGTACAGATGGAATAGAATGATTCACTGGGATAGAATTGCCCACTACTCTTTATTACTTTTTCTTTGTCACAAGGACCTCTACATGACCCAAAATAAATACAATCTTTCACACAAATCACTATTATTATTTACTATTTCTCCTGTCAGTTTAGAGGAATTTTATGAGCTCGTATATCAAGGAGTACCACTCCTGAATTATCAGTGGGATCACTGCTTGTAGCATCACGACCTAACATATGCATTTGTAGTTTCTTGTCTTACCTACCTGGACACAAATGAATGATTCACTGCCTCGTTAGTATAACATCTTTTCTCCCATATGGAAATAGAATTAAAAGGTTCCATCATCTCTTCTTTATTTGGAAAACGTAAGCTTGAACCTCATAACCTGATCATTTTTTTCTTACTGCTTTTTTAATATACTATCCTGCTAAAAAAATCTCCTATTTTAGCCAGCAGGTAGCACAGCTGGGGACTTTTCTTTACTGGTGACATTTCCTGTATTTTTTGCTTTTTCGAAACAGAATATATATTTTCTAGTCTCAAGGGGAATAATGCAAAAATTACAATACAAAGCAATGTAAATGCTATGTCTCAGCACAATTCTCCAGTTGCTTTAGAGGCTTAGAGGTAAAATCCTGCTGACTATGTCATTTGTATTAAATATGCCACAATTATGAATTTAAAAAAAAATAATTTATACATAAATATCTTGTATAAGAAACCTCAACAATATGAGTAAAGGCATTTTAGCTTTTCATATAGAATATTTATTATATGAAGCAAAAGCAAACACAGTGATTTGAATAAAGTGCGATAACATTTTATAGCCATTTACACATTAAGTTACAGCTAATTAAGTTACATCTAGTAAAAACAGAAATATAATTACAGGTTTTAACTAATTAACAGATACGTAACACTAAAGAATGTTGACTTAAAAAGAAAAAAAAATGTAAGTACACATAAGAAACACAATACAGTACACAATACATTCTGCTGAGCTTGGTTGATTCCACTGCTTACTCTGGGTAATATATTAAAAAGGAGTATTAGTCTTGTGCATAGCAGGAAAATTCAGGTTCAGCTGAAGTGATTTGGGCAAAAAAAAAATGTATTCGTTTTATTTTGGTTTTGTAAATGTGGTGTTTCATTTCCGGCAGATTTCATCTGTGCGATTGTTTCAGGTAAAATCAATGCAACAAAGCTCGAAATGGGTCAATCGGTGTAGTGCAAAATATAACACGTGCACAGTTTCCCTTGATTTGGTTAATCGATCAAGTGAGAAGAAGTAACCAATAGAAAGGAAAAAAAGGATAAATAATAAAAATATGATACATTTATATACAAGGCAGCATAGG